TTCAACTAAAATTGAATACTATTAATAAAGTAATTTATTTATTTTTATATTCCTAAATTTTTACATTCTGCAAAGAACTTCGTAACGATTTAAAATTATTTCCATTTGCATATTCATCATAGGGTATTCACAATTCTTTATATCACGCACAGCACATTTTTCACTTGGTTTTTATGTCCTTGTTGCACCTTGTTTGCACCTTGTTGCAGTTTAGTTTGGACACCTAATTTATGAGCTGCATTTGCGTGGCTGAACCGGTGCTTAAATTCAACAATTATTGCACAAGATTTGCAGCAAACAAATTGGCGGCCATCATGAATATGCATGCATATACATATACTCATACATAAACATACATATATACATAAGCTAATGTATTGGCTGTGGGTTGGTCACTCGCCGTGTTTACATGGCGCAGGTGTGAAGCTGTGAATTCATAATAAGTCTAGTATATGCCACCACAGCACTCTGAAGCACTGCCCACCAATCATCAGTGTTAGATTAGCTGCTAAGATGATTCTACAAACGCCAGCCCCAAGCCCCAAGCCCCACATCACACACTCACACACTCCCACACATACGTTCACGTGTCTGCGCATAACTCGATGAGTAGCTCGATTGACATATTCCACAATTATATTGACAAAAGCTTGAGATGCTGTTAGCTGCTGCTGCCACCGCCGTTAAGTGTGAAAAAATTCAGGTGAAAGAAAAGAAATGGGTACGAAATGTTAAAAAAAAAAAGAATTTACAAAAGAAAAAAAAAAAAAGAAAGATAAAGAATAAACCGATGATGAGAAAGAAAGAAGCTGCTCGGCTCAGTGCTGGCAATTAGCGCGCCAGCTAAAATCTAACACCTTGTCAAAGTGAAAGGCCAGAGAGTTGTGGGTGGGGCAACATCTTAATGCTGCCAATTGTGCGTTTTATGCATCCATATACGCATATACCCACAACAATAACAACAACAACAGCAACAACAATGGAAAAAAAATGGGTGAGTGCGGAACTGAATAAACAGCTCTCTGAACTTGGCTATTTGTTATCGTTCTGGCTTATGGCTCATGTGCACACACACACACACACACACTGACACACGTACATGCTCTTAGAGCTGTATTTGCTTGGATATTTGTGTTGTGTGTGTGTGTGGGTGTGTGTGGGGCGTCCCATGGCGTACCACAGCTATGCCCTGGCCTCCCACTCCTCTCGCCCCCGCAGCAACCTGGCCAACAAGCTGCTTAACTTTAATCACACTAATTACAGAGCTAAAAGGATAATCGTGTCGCTGACCACAACAAGTTTCAAGCTTTAGCTTCAGCTTCTGATTTCTAATGCCCAGCTAAACATATTTATTTTTCCTTGTTCGTTTCTCTACATATTTTTGCTTCTTTTATCTTTGCAACTTTTTGGCAACATGTTGATGCAACGTGTTCGGAGCAAATGACACTCATAGCACTAGCCATTTAAACAGCTGTTTATTTACTCACCTAATGTTGAAAATGAGAACATGATGAAGTTGTAGTTAAATGGACATAGAAAAAAACAAAAAGAAGAAAATTTAAAATAA